GTTCAAGTCCTGGATATCCTTGTTAATTTTCTGTCTCGTTGATCTGTCTAATATTGACAGTGGAGTGTTAAAGTCTCCCACTATTTTTGTGTCAGAGTCTAAGTCTCTTTTTCAGTCATTAAGAACGTGCTTTACGTATCTGGGTGCTCCTCTAATGGGTGCATATATATTTAGGACCATTAGCTCTTCTTGTTGCATTGATCCTTTTACCGTTATGTAATGCCCTTCTTTGTCTCTTTTGATCTTCATTGGTTTAAAGTCTCTTTTATCAGAGACTAGGATTGCAACTTCTGCTTTTTTTTTTCTCTCCATTTGCTTGGTAAATCTTCCTTCATCCCTTTATTTTGAGCCTATGTATGTCCTTGCATGTGAGATGGGTTTCCTGGACACAGCACACAAATGGTTTTTTACTTTTTATCCAATTTGCCAGTCTGTGTCTTTTTACTGGGTCATTTAGCCCATTTACATTTAAGGTTAATAATTGTTATGTGTGAATTTTATCCTGCCATTTTGATGCCAGCTGGTTGTTCTGCCTATTAGTTGACACAGTTTCTTCATTGTGTCGATGCTCTTTACCATTTGGTACTTTTTGGAAGTGGCTGGTACTGGTTGTTTCTTTCTATGTTTAGTGCTTCTTTCAGGAGGTCTTGTAAGGCAGGCCTGGTGGTAACGAAATCTCTCAACAATTGCCTATTCACAAAGGATTTTCTTTCTCCTTTGCTTATGAAGCTTAGTTTGGCTGGATGTGAAATTCTAGGTTGAACGCTCTTTTCTTTAAGGATGTTGAATATTGGTCCCCACTCCCTTCGGGCTGGTAGGGTTTCTGCAGAGAGATCTGCTATGAGTCTGATGGGGTTCCCTTTGTGGGTAATCCAACCTTTCTTTCTGGCTGCCATTAGCATTTTTTCCTTCATTTCAACCCTGGTGAATCTGATGATTATATGCCTTGGTGTTGCTCTTCTTGAGGAATATCTTTGTGGTGTTCTCTGTATTTCCTGGACTTGAATATTGGCCTGCCTTGCTAGATTGGGGAAGTTCTCCTGGATAATATCCTGAAGAGTGTTTTCCAGCTTGGATTCATTCTCTCCATCACATTCAGGTACACCTCTCAAATGTAGCTTAGGTCTCGTCACATAATCTCATATTTCTTGAAGGCTTTGTTCATTTCTTTTCACTCCTTTTTCTCTCGTCTTGCATTCTCATTTAATTTCATTGAGTTGATCTTCAATCTCTGATATCCTTTCTTCTGCTTGGTCAATTCAGCTATTGAAATTGTGTATGCTTTGCGAAGTTCTCGTGTTTTTCACCTCCATCAGTTCATTTATATTCTTCTCTATGCTGTTTATTTTCCTTAGCATTTCCTCAAACATTTTTTCAAGTTTCTTAGTTTGTTTGCATTGGGTTACTACATGTTTTTTTAGCTCAGAGAAGTTTGTTATACCCACCTTCTGAAGCCTGTTTCTGTCAATTCATCAGACTCATTCTCCATCCAGACTTGTTCCCTTGATGGTGAGGAGTTGTGATCCCTTGGAGGAGGAGAGGCATTCTGGTTTGGGGTGTTTTCATCCTTTTTGCTCTGGCTTCTTTCCATCTTTGTATATATATCTACCTGTGGTCTTTGTAATTGGTGGCTTTCAGATGGAGTCTCTGAATGGATGTACTTTTTGTTGATGATAAAGTTATTTCTGTTTTTTAGTTTTCCTTCTAACAGGCCCCTCTGCTGTAGGACTGCTGGAGGTCCCTTCCAGACCCTGCTTGCCTGGGGATCACCTGCAGTGGCTGCAGAACAGTAAGGGTGCTGCCAGTTTCTTCTTCTGTTATCTTTGTCCCAGAATGATACCTGCCAAATGTAAGTGTGAGCTCTCCTATGAGGTGACTCATTGGATATACGGGGATCGGGGAGTTGCTTGAGGAGATAGTCTGTCCCTTCTAGGAGATCAAGTACTGAGCTGTGACTGCCATTGCTCAATTCAGAGCTGCCGGGCAGGTATGTTTAAGTCTTCTACAGCATAACTCATGATCGCCTTTTTTTCCCAGGTGCTCTGTCCTGGGATGGTTGGGCTTCATTTTTAAGTTCCTGATGTGCTGCTGCCTTTTTTCAGAGATGCCCTGCCTAGCAGGGAGGTAGCCTAGTCACAGTCTGCCAGCAGAGGGATTGCTGAGTTGCCTTGAGGTCTGCCCAGCTGCTCTGTGAACTTCCTTGTGATTTTGTTTATAGAGGTATAGTTAGAAATGCCTGAGTAATGGCAGTCTGCCTCAGAAATGGTGGACTGTCTCTGTAAAGCTGGACTGCCTTGGTGGTGGTGGACTGCCTCAGTAGTGGTGGACTGCCTCAGTAATGGAAGACACCCTTCCTCCCACACAGGTGGACCGTCCCAGGTCCTGCTATGCTTGCTGTGAAACTCTCAATCCTGAGTGTTTCAGATTGCTGGTCTTTGTGTGAGTGGGACCTGCTGAGCCGGATCACCTGGTTCCCTGTTTCAGCCCCCTTTCTTTCAGTTGAATGGGCAACTCTGTCTCCCAGGTGTTCCAGGCACCAGTTGAAACGGCCACCCAGATTTGTATGAGTTTTTGTATGGAGACCTGCTGTGCCAGTTAAAATAGCCATGCTGGAGACTTGTGGTACTTTCCCACCCAGCAGTCTTATGGTCTGTGGGCTGTAAAAATTCTTCTGGAAATGCTGTGATCACTCATCCTCTGTTCTTGCTGGGAACTGTACTCCAGAGCTGTTCTTATTCAACCATCTTCAGTCATCGAAATTCTGTTTTTAATTTTTTGTCTGGGTATTTTCTAATACACAGTTGGCTGAATCCAAGGGTGTACAACCTGCAGATACAGAGGGCCACCTGTCTCCCATCTAGGGCTGCATTCATGCTACCATGGCACAGGGGAGGAGTTAAAACAGAGACTGACGGCTTACAAATTCTAAAATACTTACTATCTGGCCCTTTACAGAAAACGTTTGCCTATCTGTGTTCTAAACTTGACCCAATCCATCTGAACTCTGGAGCATCCATCATTTCATAAAGTTAACCCCATATTGAAGCAAGGGGCTGGCCTTTGTGCTTCAGTGTCATTGGTTGCTGACCACCTGAGGATGAGGTACATGAAGGAAATTGGCAGTGGCTCCCATCAGCCAAGGGCAATTCTCTGGGTATTGAAGGCAGCTGTGAGCTATTAGTAGCCAACATTTGCAGCAACTGGAAAATGGGTACACATGCTTGATCCTTCAAGGTATGGCCAGCATCCACCACAGTGCATACCTGGATCAACACATGTGCGAAGCCAGAGGGAACATGTACTTTCCACCTAAAACTGAGCCATCATTATCTCACAGTGATAGAATGGATAGATGGGAGGCGAGAACCAAATGGGAGATTCCATTCCTATTTGGTTCTCGCCTCCCATCTATCCATCCCATTGCTCTAAGGTTGAAGATGGGAATTCTTACCAGTATTCATGGAGTCCTACTAGCTTCCCCAGCCCCACCTCATTCCATTTTCTTCACACTGTATTTTCTACCTGTGCATGACCAGAGCTCAGAGGGCAATTCTTTCTGTTGCAAAGCATGTCGGGTTACACCCAGCTTCAGGGCCTTTGCTCATGCTGCTTCCTCTGCCTGAAATACCCTCCCCTCATACCTTCTACCACACTGCAGTATTATAACAATCCCCCTTCCTGCAGGTCTCAGCTCAGAAAAACCATCTTGAATCTAATTTTCCCTCAAGTAGCCAATATTTAGTTTGTCTTTACATATGTTTCTGCCTTGTGCAAACCCATAGCTTGTAAAAATATACCCATAGAGTTTTTTACTTAACAAAAAATGCTATACTGTTTTCTTTCCTTTAAAACTTGCTTTTGTCCCTTTAACAATATAAACCATAAGAAACTATCCAATTTTTCATTCATTTTTTTAGCACCTGAATGACCTTCCATCATATGTGTACATATGTTCATCATATGTATTATAATAAATCATTTAAGAACTCCCAGCCAGGTGCTGTGGCTCATACCTGTAATCCCAGCACTTTGGGAGGCCAAGGCGGGTGGATTGTGAGGTCAGGAGTTCAAGACCACCCTGGCCAATATGCTAAAATTTCGTTTCTACTAAAAATACAAAAATTAGCCAGGTGTGGTGGTGCACACCTGTAGTTCCAGCTACATGGGAGACTGAGGCAGAAGAATCACTTGAACCTGGGGGTGGAGGCTGCAGTGAGCCGAGATCACACCACTGCACTACAGCCTGGGTGACAGCAAGACTCCATCTCAAAAAATAATAATAATAATTCCGATATTGATAGGAGTTCAGATTGTTTCTCTTTCTCTCTCTCTCTCTCTGTGTGTGTGTGTTTTCATTTTACAAATAATGGTGCAAAAACATCTCTGAACAAATATCCTTACATTCTGATGCTTTTATTTCTGTAGGCTCAGTTGCTAGAGGTGCTATTGTTCAGTCAACATATACATGCTCTTCATGCACTTAACATTTCAGTAGTCAGTGTTAGATTTCTTTCTGCAAATAGAGCAAATTGCATGTCCACCAGCAGCTTTAGGAGGCCTTCCTGTGCTCGGCTTCTTTGCCAGTACTCACGTCTTTCAATCCTTTTAACGTCTGCCAATCTCTTGGCAAAGGAATGGCTTCTCATTGTTCTAACTTGCATTTCTTTGATTGTTACTGAGGTTGGGCATCTTTTTATACAAATATTATTTCAATAACAAAAATAACCCCTCTACTCATAGGACCTTCACATGTTAATTTAACATGTTTTGAGCATATCCTTTGAGATGATGTCAGAAAAACACCCACCTGTCCTCATTTGCTCTCCAGTTAAGATTATGAACTCACTTGTGTTCCTTGTATCTGTGAACCCTCTACTGTTTTGCGACTTGCATCCCTAAAGGTTGGGGAGAGTTTTGGTCTCCAGGGATATGGTGATGGGAGGGAAGGTAGATGGTTATGCCCTGTCTGTGACATTCTCCTTCTGTCTCTTCATTTCCAGACACCGCCCAGATGAACAATGCAGTGCCCACCTCTCCTCTGCTCCAGCAGATGGGCCATCCACATTCGTACCCGAACCTGGGCCAGATCTCCAACCCCTACGAACAGCAACCGCCAGGGAAAGAGCTCAACAAGTATGCCTCCTTAAAGGCAGTCGGTAAGGGCCTCCTGATGGATCTTTTTTTCTTTCTCCTCTTTCCTGTCCTTTGTAGCTTCTTGTAGAAGCTTTTTATACTATTGCTGTATAGTATAAGTGAATAGGTGGATGGATAGATGGATAGATGATAGGATAATTCTACCTACCTACTTATTTATTATCAATCTGTCATCCATCCATCCTTCCTTCCATTCATCTCCCTATCCACTTATCTATTATCTATCATCAATCTTAGATCTACCTACCACCTATCCATCTATCATCTATCATATATCTACCTATTATCCATCATTTACCTACCTGCCTATTATCTATCATCTATCTATCTATTGAATCTTCTGGGTCTCTCTACCTGGGACCCAGCTTTCTAAGGACCAGAGCCCCTCAGCTGCTTTCTCTGACATAGAACAAGTCCTCCATTGTTGTGTGAGGCAGGGTGGCTGGGTGAGGGGCACATGTACGGTGAGGGCTATTTTCTGGGGAGAAGGACCTGGTTGCTCATTTCCTCTCACTGACATTTTAACCCCTTTACCATCTCCATCTACCCTCATTGATCCTCAGGGAATCTTGTCATAGAATCTAGGTCTTTCCATCTCAGAAATGCCTTACCCTTAGTGGGTAACACCCGTCACCTACACAGTCCATACCATTTCTAAGAAGTTGGTAAACAATGCACATTCCTATCCCAGGCAACTTCTCTCCTGGATTTAAATATTTACTAGGGTGGGCAGCCTGGAGCTACTACTAATTGAGTTCTTATCAAGTGCAGGACATTGAATTAAACCCTTGTTTTCTCAGTGATCCAAAGTGATTATTCCAATTGCCAGATTAGAAAACTGAGACTAAGAGGCTAATATAACTTGCCCAAATCAAGCAGCAGTGGGTGAGAGAGATGAGAATTGAACCCTATTTTTATCACTCCACAGCCACTGCTCCCACCACTGCCCTGGTTCCTTCAGTTCATTCTTCAATTTAAACATGAGGGGGTGTGATAGTAACCCTAACAGTGACTAAGGCTCTTGAACAGTTTGCTCATAAAAGGGTTCTATTGGATAGAAGCAACAGTCACAGAAAGAGGTTCCTGACTCCTGATTGGCTGTGGCAACCTCAGGGTGTCCTAAATCAATGGTTCTCACACGTGGATGACAATTACTAGAATCACCGGAGAGCAGGTAAAACACACTGATGCCCACCCTACAGATTTTAATTGAACTGGTTGAGGATTAGATTCAGACATGGGCATTTTTAAAGGACTCTGTGGCTGCTTCTAGTGTGAAGCCAGGGCTGACAGCCATTCATGAAAACCGCCCAGCCCCACATCCAGGAAAACCAAATCCTACTTCAAGTGCTTGCCCTGAATTTCATCTTCTAATGACCTTAATGGTTCTTTACATTCCTGTGCATTGTTAATACAGTGGGGAGAGTTCCTTTCCTTCTCACTCTGTCCTGTGAGTTCTGTTTTTCTCTCCCTGTCTCAGAGGAGAAATTTTAAAGCCAGGTTTTCCACTTAACCTGTTTCTTCTCTGAGTCTATTCCTTGGGGAACTATAAAGAGCCAAAAAGATGGGAGTTCAAAACCTAGCTCTACTACTATCTGTATAGTTTTGAGCAACACATAACCCCTTTTAAAGGTCTGTCTTCTAATCTGTAAAATGGGCCTAAGGGTGCCTGTGATGACTTGTATTATAGCCTGGTAAAGGACATTCATTCAGCTGGATGCAGTGGCTCACGCCTGTAATCCAAGCGCTTTGGGAGGCCGAGGCAGGCAGATCACCTAAGGTCAGGAGTTTGAGACCAGCCTGGCCAACATGGCAAAACCCCATCTCTACTAAAAATACAAAAATTAGCCAGGCATGGTGGCAGGTGCCTGCAATCCCAACTTCTCAGAAGGCTAAGACAGGAGAATTGTTTGAACCTGGGAGGCAGAGGTTGTGGTGAGTCGAGATTGAACCACTGCATTCTAGCCTGGGAGACTGAGCAAGATATCATCTCAAAAAAAAAAAAAAAAGACATTCATTCATCATATATTTGTCACCTCATTTTTCCAGAGCTCCATGGTCTTATTTCTGTAGCCCCATGGATGAATCCTTTTCTGATTTCCATCTTAAAGTGTGCTCAGATATTATGGGAAGGTCATCTTTTTTTTTCTTTTTTGAGATGGCGTCTCGCCCTGTCGTCTAGGCTGGAGTGCAGTGGCATGATCTCAGCTCACTGCAACCTCCATCTCCCGAGTTCAAGCAATTCTCCTGCCTCAGCCTCCTGAGTGGCTAAGATTACAAGCATGTGCCACCACTCCTGGCTAATTTTTTTTTTTTTTGGTATTTTTAGTAGGGACAGGGTTTCACTATGTTGGTCAGGCTGGACTCACTCCTGACCTCAAATCATCAACCTGCCTTGGCTTCCCAAAGTGCTGAGATTATAGGCATATCCGCACCTGGCCAGGAGGGTCTTCTTTAAACATTCGCCTTTTCCTACACCAAGTCCTCACTTTCCCAGCAGAATGGACTGTCAGAAGCTCCAAAGCATTAGAACAGTTCACTCTGAGTGGAATCCTGTTTTATGGGTAGAGGTCCTTTTGGTCTTTAGTTATTCATAAAATGTGTATATCTATTCCCATATACTGTTGGTTCATGGAAACTCTGGGCAGGCAGAAAACCTCACAAATCATGTACCTTTTTTTATTAACTGTTCATCCTCTTCCCTCTCCCCCCAGTCACAATGCCAGGTCCCTCACTAGAGATAGGATGGGAGATACTTGCTGATTGATTTCAGTAGGAACTATGCTAATCCTGTTTTAAACTAATACCAGAACTGAAAGCACAGACACAGACATGTGACTATGATGCCTGTGATAACTGTGATCCACACACATCAGAATCACAAAACAAGCATTTTGGTGCCTAGCATAGGGCCAGGCACATACTAGGTAGTTATCAAGTGTTTATACCAGAAGTCTCTCTTTGGGAATTCATGTTCCCTGATTTCTTAGGATTTCCAGATGGAATCATTCAAAGAGTGACTAAGCCAGATTTATAATACCAAGGACACGGGATCTTTAGACTGACACAGGCTTTTCTAAATCTGAAGGCTTGTAAGACCCCACATACTGGTTACCCATGTTTAACATTGAATTTCTATGCCCAGCTCAAGCCTCATTATGTCCCACGACCACAGATTCCTTCTCTTCCATATTGCCTGTTTGCACAGCATATGCCTCCTAAGCACATTCGAATATACTCAATATTACTAGGAAGGGATGAGGGGTGTTGGCTAGGCGAGCAAGAGTCAAGGCATCTTTGCCAATGTGACTGTGGAAGCCTTCATGTGCTATTTGGTGGCACACTTCTCCTTTTGACCCTTGCAGTTAGATAACAAATAGCATATGCCATTACATTTAATTCTTCTTTAGGCATTTAAAAAATCAGTCAGGCCAGGAGTTGAAAACCAGCCTGGCCAATATGCCAAAACCCTCTCTCTACTCAAATCACAAAAATTAGCCAGGCGTGGTGGCAGGCGCCTGTAATCCCAGCTACTCAGGAGGCTGAGGCATGAGAATCACTTTAACCTAGGAGGTGGAGGTTGCAGTGAGCCGAAGTGATGCCACTGCACTCCAGCCTGACACCCATTCAGTGTCTGGGAAAATAGCAGAGGGATATTCCAGCAGAGCTCCTTGATTTTCTCCAAGATTTATGTGGGGCTCCTCTACATAGCAATATCTGCAGTGCATTTGGGATTAAGTTTTCAGTGAAAATCATTTCACACTTTTTGAGTAACCCTCTGCTTATAACTCAGGAACTCCTGAAATGTTTGTTGAATTAATGAATGAATGATCTTGTCTTTGACAAGAATAAAAAAAGAATAGCTTGGTTGTAAGGGAGCACCCTTATACCACCTAGAAAACTCTGAAGGATACCACTTCGGGTACCTTTCCCAGTCCTAGATGTGGTTGATATACTCTACTCTTCTTCATTTTTTTTCTGACCATTGTGAGAGTTCTTAGGGCTTTCTCTGAGACACAGATGGTCTTGTGAATCTGGAGGGCCAATGCAGAGCAGACTGAGGGAATGCTTGAACCATGGGTTAGCCAGGAATCCAGCGTCTGCCTGCATGCAAAAAAATGAAAATCCCATAATAAATATTCTTTTAAGGGTTTTTTATTAAAGTATAATGTGATCATGGTGTGAATGATGAAAGGCATTAATGAAATCATTATCACCCAGGAGAGAAGTTGTTTAAAAAATGGTTTGCTGTTGAAAGTTCTGTAACCCCTGATAACCAGATTCATTCTCTAAATATTTCAGTCCGGAGAATAAGTAGAGGTTAGACAATCTTTAGGGTTAACTGCTAAGTTCAAAAATACTTCTGGAAAATAAATGTCTCTGGGAAGCTTTAATATCCAAAGCTCTGTGAAGATTATCAGACACTGTGTCTCACGCAGACTCTAACCGCACTTAGCTGTATGACTTTGAGCAGGTGACTGAAGCTCTTGGACTTCAGCTTCTTCATATGAAAAATGAGAAAACTCAACTATTAGATGTCCAAGCTCCATTTTAATTATGAAATTAGAAAAATAATTCTACTCATTCTAGTTATTAGAATACCTTAAACATGTCCCATTCATTACCTGCCAACTCTGGGGAAAAAAGGTTTGAATAAAGGGTGATAATGTTGGTTGTTCCTGAGACAAATTCTCCCCAAACCTGTACTTTATTTTCGTTTGCTTGTTGGGATCACTCTCATGTTTAAAGAGACCTCTTTTCTTTTTACAATTGAGAGATTTGGACATGCACCATCTAGTCATACACTGCATGTAACTACAGAATGGTTTCCGTTCCCAGGGGGTTTACTGCCCAGCTCTTGGTAAAATATTAGCACACACTAGGGAAGTATCAGGGGCTAAGCCATATAGGACTTTGTACAAGAAGGGATGATGACTCTGAATTATTTCTTCAGTTCATTCATTCATTCTCCAAACATTAAGTCTGGTTTCTCTTGACTGCAGGTCCCACTGAGGCATGAACCAAGTCTATCCATTCGTCAATGTATCTCTAGTGCCTAGTGCTATGTGGGGTGCTTAGCAAGGACTCCCAACACTTATTTGTAAAACTAGTAAATAACACCATATAAGTACCTCATGTAGCCTGAGAGGGACCTGAGAGAATAAGCAGGACAGCAAAATATAGCATGGCCTCTGGAATTGGTCAGGGCTGAGTTCAAGACCTAGCTTGGGCCAAGCACAAGGGTCTTAGGATTATTGGCTCATGCCTGTAATCCCAGCACTTTGGGAGGCTGAGGCGGGTGGATCACAAGGTCAGGAGTTTAAGACCAGCCTGGCCAACATGGTGAAACCCCGTCTCTACTAAAAATACAAAAATTAGCTGGGTGTGGTGGTGCCTGCCTGTAATTCCAGCTACTCGGGAGGCTAAGGCAGAAGAATCGCTTGAACCCTGGAGGTGGAAGTTGCAGTGAGCCAAGATCGTGCCACTGTACTCTGGGCTAGGCGAGAGAGTGAGACTGCATCTCAAAAGAAAAAACAAACAACAACAACAAAAAAACCAAGAACTCATTTGGACATTTTTCACATAATTGCAGAAATTATTTAACTTCCTAAGGTCTCAGTTTCCCCTTCTATAAAATGGAGATAATAATGATAATATACAGGTAATGGCTTTGAAAACTTGATGATATAGTGCAGGTAAAGTTCTCACCCTGACACATAGTCCTCAGGAAATACTGCAGCGTATTAAAGCCCCAGACCAGAGTTATCTGCGGTCATAATTTTCCCCTGATCTCTGAGATACACTGGTACCTGGATTAACATGCAATTGTCCACGTTTCACTGTGAGGGAGAAAGAGTTGGTTCCATATTCTTTACTCCGGTCTGATGGAAAAGACACACACGAATGTTAACTCATGTCGGGATCTGATAAAACAAGCAGGCAAGAAAGCAAGCAAATGGCTTTTCTAAGCTGTCCTAAGGACACTCAAATAATCAATCCAGGCCTCTTCCAGTTCCCCAACTGCAGGGTGGACAATAAAAGTCGATGCTCACACATACAGATACTGTAATACAATCCATCAGATAAACATTCAGTTTCAATACAATCCTTCAGAGAAATAGTCTGTTTCACTCAATTGACTCTCCTTACTAAAGCAAAAATGTTGATTTAAACATTTCCCACCAATGTCAAGGTTGAGAAGCTTGTCGTCTTATAGACTGAGCCAAAAACGTAACCTCAAAACCCAGTTAAGCATACAAGTTCCCTGGCCTGAGGTGCCCGAATGGTTACAGCATGGGAGCCAACCTTGTGGTTCTTCATAGGTCAAAGTTTGGAAGGCCGATGTGTTCGTGAAAATATCCCTAAAGCTTAATTGGTGGTTCAGAGAGGGATGATTGGTAGTTCCAGAACTGGAAAAGATCACCCTTTCACCCTTCTGTGTAATTCCCGACGGGCTTTGCAAACAGAAAATTGCCTGCACATTTACATTTATCTTTCATTAGCCCCTTGTCTAGTGTTTCCTCCAGGTTTGTGATTGTTGAACTCCTAGGTGGCCAAAGAATCCTCATCATGTGCCCTTAATATGGCTCAGTGCAACCTTGGCCACTGAATATAACAAACACACAGGATGTACCAGCATCATTGATACAATGCTGTGTGCCTTCATTTCTAATTCAAAATTTTAATTTTACTTTAAAAATATTTTCTGTATTGCTATTTGACAGATGATTGACTATTTTGCCAGAATCACAGTGTATTTTCCAATAGCAGTTTTTCAAACAGCAGCAGCAATGCACTTCAATATGTCAGGAATTCCCTCTTTACTCTTGAAATCATGAGTGAAAACCCTAAGAGTCATACATGAGGCTCTTGGAAATGGATTGGCCTCTACTAGTTAAATTTTTTTTTTAAGTTAGGGCAGAAAGGGGGCTAACATCACGGAACTCAGGAACACCACACCTCTGAGGGAGGTATTAGTCCCACCATTTTGCAGCTGGGGAAACAAGCTTAGCATAGTTAAGTAATTTTCCCATAATCCATACTTGTAGTAAATGGCAGAGCCAAGACTCATATTCAAGAGTGCCTGACTTTGAATCCTATGTTCTTTCCATGAATCTGTGCTGTCTTCTGCAGACAAATTTTTGGCATCTAAAGTATGTAACCAGGCAAAAAAAAAAAAAAAGTTGGGGAAGCCTATCCCCTGCTCTTCTGAATGAATTACCATGGTATTCATCATTTTTCTTTGTTTGAAAGTAAAAGTTTGGCTGGGCACAGTGGCTCTCAACTGTAATCCCAGCACTTTGGGAGGTGGAAGAGGATGCACTTGAGATCAGTTCAGTACCAGCCTGGCCAACATGGTGAAACCCCATCTCTACTAAAAATACAGAAATTGCCCAGTTGTGGTGGTGTTTGCCTGTAATCTCAGCTATTGAGGAGGCCGAGGCAGGAGAATCACCGGAACCCGTTGGGTGGGGAAGTAGAATTTGCAGTGAGCCAAGATTGTGCCACTGTACTCCAGCCTGAACAACAGAGTGAGACTCTGTCTCAAGAAAAAAAAAATGAAGTATAGCATGTTTGAGGTATGCTATAGTGGAAGTATATTTTACATACAGTGAAATACACAGTTAATAGTTTTACAGTAGTGTGCTTGTTAAAAAAAAATACACTTGGCTAACCTCATCCCAGTAAAAATTACTATTTTTGTCACACTGAAAGTTCCCTCATACCTCCTTCTTTTTAATACTTTAGGTCTGTCTCCTCTTAATGAGCATTTGTCGCCCTTGAAGCATTTTTCTAATGTTCATGAGTGCAACCAAGTGCACCGTGGAGCTTTACCTACATGTTCCGTAGCCTATACACCATCTTATTAAATGCCCTATTGTTGACGAACTTATAAACGAAAATTCATTGTTGTAAGAGCTAAGCCCTCTCTGAGGTAATGGGAACAGAGGTGAGAAAAGAATGGTTCCTGCTTTCAAGGCAAACAGCGATGGATTTGATTTGGGGTTGAGATGGCTTCTCTGGAGTCAGCGACTCAGTGGCTCCGTCAGCCTGTGGCCATCCACACAGGAAGAACTGGGTTTGCATTACTATTTCCAGATGACCCTGAGTCCGGGGAAGTAAAGAATCGAGTCATCCTGGGCGGGGCCCCACCCAGTTTTAAATTCCTCACTCCTCTGTGGCTCCAATTGTCTCTCTTGTGAGTGATAAGGAGTGTACAGCTCAGATCCGCAGCAGGGATGTGGCAGTTTGGGCATCCTTTGGCATGTCTGGGAGGCAAACCGGAAGTGTTTAAATGGGGCCGGATCTGTGCTCTGTAATCATTCAGATGACTGACTGTTCCCTTTGCCTTCACTCAGGCTGATCTATCTTTGGAAATGGTGCCAAACTCTTGAGGGCCTGGGTCTTTCCAGGTAGATGCCTAAGAAAAAGCTAGGGGCACACGCTGATTGGTCAGGTCTCCAGCCAATGAGGAGAGTCCCCATGGATAGGTTTGCCCCACTTTAAGTAAAACCCAATCTTACAGAAAAGAACTATCAAAGAAAGTGCGAGGTAGTGGGGGTTGGAGATGGGTCTAGCCTTAGCCCATTCTCACTATCCTTTATTTTATGAAAGGAGTCACTATGGAATTCTCTTAATAATGTTAGATCCCCCAGGGCTCATTCGGGACATCTGAAAGGAAATTCAACTCGGATAAACTGATTTACAATGAAAATTCCAGGCACACATCTGTTCTGTAAAGCAATGTATTATACAGTATGGAATTCTCAGATCACAAGCTTAATCTCGTTACTGTTTAGGAGAAATTCCCTACCTTAGAAAGGGTGACTCTCTGGATAAAATTGAATGCATCCCTTCATTCAGTAATATTTTCCTAACACAGTGTGTTAGGTAATATGGTGAGGTAGCCCCCACCCCACACAGCCTGCCACCCAGCATTTAAAGTCGCAGTCAGCAGAGCCTGTCCCAACCTTGAATCTCGGGCCAATAATGTGCCTCTTTTCAGGAGGGGCATTGCAGTAGAACACAATCAAAATCCATCGTTTGTCATCAGAGTGTAGTCTTGAGCCAAGGTGAACTCATATAACTCAAATTTTTCTTTCTTTCTAAGCAGGTTGGAATTTAGAGCCAGATTTTCTACATAAGAATTCTCTTTGTGCCTTACATAACTGAAAATACCTAGTCCTTTTTCAGGAGGCTTCTTTTGATGTTCTGTTGGGTGTTAACATGCTGCTGCTTCAAGGCCTTGCAGAAAGAGGGGCAGACATAGCTGCATTTTCACATGTGGCTCCCTTCCCTGTTCCCTGGGTCCCCTGAGGCCTCCCCCTGCTTGGAGGCTGCAGCAGGGGCAGCCACCAGCACCTGGGTGTGAGGGCACACTGAACATATGTGCCCTGCAAACAGATCATCAGCATCTCTTGATTGTTATTTTTTTAGGAAGTTCTGATGGTGACTGGGCAGTATCGACACTTAAGTCACCAAAAGGTACTGTATGGCTTTTTCTAGCTCTTTTGTCCAGGTGTTGTCAAATTTGGCATTAAATAATGAAGGGATGGAGAGTCCTGGTGTCTGTGTGACCTGTACACACGTGTGTCTGCATCGGGTGGCATCTGCAAGTCTGTCTAAGTTCCAGTGTGTAGGTGTTTGTGTATGTGTGTGTACATCTAGCAATTGTTGGACAGTGTGCTACCCCTCACTTCCCAGTATTTGTTGCCTGATGGAAAATACCACTATGAGAAATCATGCCAGGTAAGGTGAAATATGTTGATTTTTCTCAGAAAGCTGCAATGGCAAAATGGCAAAACACAAGGTAAATTAATTGTGAGCAGGGATGGGAAGAATACAGCTTCTGAGGGAGAGATAAACACAATCAAGTTATTGGCCAAGGGTCTTCGGAATGATTAGCCTTGCAGGGAACAGAATGCTGTTTTCATTGTGCCTGGGACAGCATGGTGAGCAGAGAGGGTTAAGAAGTTGGTCTACCTGAGTCTGTGAGTTAACTAAACTAGCTGGGTGACCATGCCAGGTGGTAACTATTTAATTAATTAGCTCCCTACTATGTGCCAGAGAACTGGGCCTTTACATCATTTTGTCACTGAATTCTCTGATGATAAGGCTGTGTAGGCATTGTCATCCACATTGAGAAATGAGAAGATGATGTCTCAGTAAGGGTGTGTCTTGCTGGTCTAGAGTCATATGACTATTTCGTGGTTTAGAGCTGCCATTTGAACCTGTGTCAGTCAGACTCTTATTCTAAACTATTTTCCACTGGGGTATAATGGAAACCGCTGTTTTTACAGTAGACCAGAAACACCCTTCTCAATATACTTTCTTGGACTTGGAGAAGTAGCTGACTTAAGGAGGTGGAGGTAGAACTCTTTTTTCTTTTTTTGAGACAGAATCTTGCTCTGTCGCCTAGGCTGGAGTGCAGTGGCAGAATCTCAGCTCACTGTAACTTCTGCTTCCTGGGTTCAAGTGATTCTCCTGCCTCAGGCTCCTGAGTAGCTGGGACTACAGGCGCAAGCCACCATGCCTGTATCTATTTTTGTAGATACAGGGTCTCACCATGTTGGCCAGGCTGGTCTCAAAATCCTGACCTCAGGTGATCCGCCTGCCTTGGCCTCCCAAAGTACTGGGATGACAGGTGTGAGGTACTGCGCCCGGCTTTTTTTCTTTTCTTTTTTTTGAGATGGAGTCTTGCTCTGTTGCCCAGGCTGGAGTGCAATGACGTGATCTTGGATCACTGCAAACTCCCTGCCTCCCGAGTTCAAGCCTCCCAAGTAGCTGGGACTAAAGCACTCCTACCACACTGGCTAATTTTTGTATTCTTAGTAGAGACAGGGTTTCACCATATTGGTCAAGCTGATCTCGAACTCCTGACCTCAGGTGATCTGCCCACCTCAGCCTCCCAAAGTGTTGGAATTATAGGCATGAGCCACTGCACCTGACCAGTAAAACTCTTTAACAAGCTTGAGCTGGGGAAAACTAGGAGTCACTACAAGGATATAAACAGGAAACTGATGTGTTAGTCCATTTTCATGCTGCTGATAAAGACATACCCAAAACTGGGCAGTTTACAAAAGAACAAGTTGATTAGACTCACAGTTCCAGGTGGCTGGGGAGGAGCAAGTCACATCTTACATGGATGGCAGCAGGAAAAGAGAGCTTATATAGGGCAACTCCCATTTTTACAACCATCTGATCTCGTGAGACTTATTCACTATCATGAGAACAGTGCAGGAAAGACCCGCCTGGTAATCAACTGCACAACACGTGGAAATTGTTGGATGGGAATGACCTCACGATTACAATATGAGATTATTACTAAGTTACAATTCAAGATGAGATTTAGGTGGGGACACAGCCAAAGCATATCAACTGGCATGGCCATTTTTTGCCCTCTCAAAAGATTATTCTGGCTTCTAAGTGGAGACTGGATTAGGGGACTGTGGACTGGAGTTGCAGACAGCCACTGGGAGGCTCTTGCAGGTGGGTGGTAACCTGCACTGGGGTAGGTAGAAGATGGAGAGGAGAAAAGAGAGTGGAAGGACGATTGAGAGACTGCAAAAAGTTAGGAGGAGGAGGAGGGACCATGACATCAATGGCTCTCGCGTTTTAAGCTGCTTGAGCATGCAGCAGCATCACTTGGAGGCTTGTTACAAATCCAGACTCCTGGGCCTTACCCAGGAGCACCTGATTCACTAAGCCTCGGATGGGGTCTGAGGAGTTGAACTGCCAACAGGTCCCAAGGTGATGTTGATGCCACAGGTCTGGGATCACACTTAAAACTACTGCAGTCAAGATACCTTTCTGGGAAACTAACACTCTGTGACTTGTTCTCCAGATACCTTTTTTGTAAGGTGAATGTTCTGAAGAGCAGAGTTTGACCAGGGTCCCAAAGACTTAGAAACATCCTGAGCTGTTGGGGGGAGGGAGTTCATTCTCTTCCTTCATTGGGAAAGAGAGCTTTACATCAGTGTGTTTAATGAGAATCCCCTGATTACCTGGCTGTTGCCTTGAGAGAGACAGATTTTTGGGTTTTGCATTTGATAAAAAGTGTTCACATGTCAAAGTCCATTTTTAGAAATGCAAACAGTTTGGAACATGACAGACCTACTAATTTGAGCCATTAACTTTTTTTTCCCTTCCCTGTGAAAAACAAAGCCATTATGATCTCAGTGACGGCATTCGGAGGCAGTCTGCATTTCTGTCCTTATATCATCCTCTTGCCATCTGATGCATTTAGAACATGTTTCAGCATAGGTTAAAGGCAGGAGCTGTTTTGTACCCAAACTAGGCTAACTTCACCTGTCCTGCTAAATGCACCTTTATCCTGCTTTGGGGAGAGGAAAGGGGTCCCAGTGAGAACCAAGTTCCTTTGGGGTCATAGGTCTGCCTCTAGTGTTCTCTACTCAGCCTCTAGACCCAGTCTCTAGATGAGGAATGGTAGCGAAGTAGGGATGTTTGTATGCCCCCACCTTCCACTTTCTTAAAAGGGAAAGACAGGCCAGGCACTGTGGCTCACACCTATAATTCCAGCACTTTGGGAGGCTGAGGCAGGTAGATCACCTGTGGTCAGGGGTTCGAGATGAGCCTGGCCAACATAGTGAAAACCTGTCTCTACTAAAAATGGAAAAATTAACCAGGTGTAGTAGTGCATGCCTGTAGTCCTAGCACTCAGGAGGCTGAGGCAGGAGAATCGCTTGAACCTAGGAGGTAGAAGTTGCAATGAACCGAGATCGTGTCATTGCACTCCAGCCTGGGCGCAGAGTGGGACTGTGTCTCAAAAAAAAAAAAAAGCCAAGTTGGATATGATGGCCATAGACTCACACACCCATGGGTTCCAATACAGGCACCATCATTTGCTAGTTCTTGTTATCTTCAGCCTCTCTGACCCCCCATTTTCTGATCTGCAAAATGGAGACAATCATATCACCTACTTCCTAGGTTGTCCTGAGATAAGATATTTAAAACACGTGTCACAGTACCTGGTATATGGAAAGTAATACATGCATGCAGGTCATTACTGGTATTCGTAGTACTGTGATTATCAGGTGGGCGAATTAAAGGCTCTGAAAAGCCTCGTGGTAATAAAAACTGGTGAACTCTTTTTAACCTGCCATCTCCCAAACACTTTTGACATCTGATCTCTTTACTCTCAAGGAAAACCAATGAACATCTTAACATCCAGGGACATGAATGTTGCTGGGAACCCACTTTGGGAACATACAGCATAGGCAGGGAAGTAGATAGGGGTGCATGTGTCACTGGGGGAGATGGGAAAAGGAAGAGGTAACCGTCAAGGAGAAAGGACAAAGTCCTTGAAGATTAAAGTTCCCTATTGCCACCTGCATTGATAGTGACTCCCTTTGGAGGAGGAATGTGTCTGCCAGGACAGGAAATGGTAAACATCATGCTAGTTTGTATGATTTATTTTTCACTGCCTAGGGCTTCCCATTCAAGTTGCCTCCTAGTGGTCATTGCTATTGGTCCACCCACACCCTGCCTTGGACTTTGCCCAGTGTGAAATGCTCATGCTGAAGGCACAAGGCAGTAGACCATGTGCGACAGGGTTACAGTTCCGTTGGCATGCACACAGCCTATATATCATCCCGGGGGAATACCTACCACTTAAAGGCAGCTTTAAAACATTATGCCCAGCCTTGGAAATGCCTGTCACACCTGTTGAAGATCCATCTCAAGCCCAGCAGACTGTCCTAATCAAGATGAATCCATGTCTTTGGAAATCTATTTATTTTGCAAATGGAATCTTTAAACCTAAGTCCAGTGCCACAGCAAAGCAACCAAATTAGGAGAAACTGCCATAGACTGCAATTTAATCTCTCTGCTTCTGACTGGAATTGGCCTGGGTTCCCTTTTCCAAGTGACACGCATGCTCCAGGCTCCCATTTCTACCATTTCTCCAATAGAGGAGATCAGAGAATCTACTCTCCATAGGGTTTGCACAGGGCTTGCCTTGGTATATAATAGGTGCTCAATGAAAGAAGCCAGTACTCACAAAATCTCCATTCATCTCTGCTTTGGAGATAGCTCTTAGTCATCCTGATGGAGTGTTTCAGAAAGAAATACACTTCGCTAGGTCAGGTGCAGGGGCTCAAGCCTATAATCCCAGCACTTTGGGAGGCTGAGGTGGGCAGATCACTTGAGGTCAGGAGTTTGAGACCATCCTGGCTAACGTGGCAAAACCTCATCTCTACTAAAAATACAAAAATAAGCCAGGTGCAGTGGCACACGCCTGTAGTCCCAGCTACCTGGGAGGCTGAGGCAAGAGAATCGCTTGAACCCCAGAGGTAGAGGTTGCAGTGAGCTAAGAACATGCCATTGCACTCCAGCCTGGGTGACACAGTAAGACTATGTCTAAAGAAGAGGAGGAGGAGGAGGAAGAGAAGAAGGAGGGAAGGAAGGAGAGAGAGAGGGAGGGAGAGAGAGGAAAAAAAGGAAAGCAAACAAGAAATAAAGAGAGG